AAATTGTCATTTGCGATAATTTAAACTTCGGTTATTAATTATGATTGTTATAAATGGTGAATATCATGTTCAACTACTTCTTTAATGTTTATTTCTAGTATAAATGAAATTAATTCTATTGAAACATAAACAAAATGTTAAATTTAATGTCTTATAATGCTAATATCTCCACTCATTCTCTGAGGAAACATTAAAATTAGTAGAATCTGGGCGCGAAACCGGATTCGATTCCCACCGAGGCGGAAAAAATCTATCGTCTCTTTTATCTACAAATTTCAATGAATAGTATTGTCATAATAATGATAATAATAAAAATGGGTAAGCAAGTAAGTATTTATACGGTGATAATAACCATGCAAAAATATAAGTAACGATAGAATGTCGAATACATTTAATTTCGCACTTAAAGTTTAAATATCTCTATAATATAGTAGTAACTCTATATACTCAAGGCTAGAACAAGACTGATTGATACCTGTATGTTATTTTGTAAACTGATACTTTTGGAAAAGAGCAATAGTTGAGTTTCCTGCCGGTCTCTTCTCAACAGAAACTGCTTTCCGAACCGGTGGTACCTTACGAACTTATATATATAATTTTTTATGTAAAATTTAATGATTCATAAGAACGCGCAAGCGTCTATTTGAATAAATATATTTTTGATTTGATTTTGAAGATGACCACCAACAAGCGGTAGAGATTATGATGTTTTTTATGTAAGAAGGTGACGAGCGACCAGGCGGTTCACCTGATGTTAAGGGATAGCCCATGGACATTTGTAACATCCGTAGGGTTTCAGATACGTTGCCACCTTTTAATAAAGTAAGCTTCGGTTACCTCACTCACCATACACCGGTCTTCTACGTGGTAGTGGTGCTTCCCCGGATGGACCTGCCCATTCCTGCAACAGCAAAGACTATTGCGTGGCCTACCAGTTTGCGCATGTAACACAGTTTAGTTTCAAAGTTTTAAAAATTTTAATTAAAAAAAATATGTGCAAAATTTATAAAGAAGCGGAATACAAACAAATCTACATACAGAGAAAAAAACGTAGCATATAGGTATTAACGTTATATCAACTAGTAGCAACCTATATCACGATATTAATATTGTTAAGTGAAAAAACGTCTCGTGAGAAATAAATTCTTATTCATCAGAAAACACGTTTTTTACCTAACGAGTTTATATATCTGGCGTAATTCCATTAGGGCGAATTAAAAACGAACTTAATTTTGTATACAAATATTTTTTGCACAAATTCAGGATCCACAGGGAGGTATTTTGGGGGCGCGGTAAAAATTAAATTTCTGTCAGTGCCAGGCTACGCAGCTCAAACAAATGAAAAACGTAAGAGACAAAAATTCCTAATGACCCTGATTTTACTTTTTCATGGAAATAAATGAAGTGTGACCGGATTCATGCCAGTGTACAAACGTTGGGTGAAAATTAATTTGAAATGAATTTTTTGTCGCCGAATGACACGTGAGATATTTTGTGTTACGTCGTTTTTTATATTCACTTTATACTGATGAATTCATCTGCGAGAATATTCGTATGCATCATCATCCTCCTTTTCCCACCCAGGTGGGGTCGGTACAACAAGTGAATAATGTTGTAATTGGTTTTTGGCCAAGTTTTTTAACAAACGGCCGCCTGCATGATGTCAACCCTCCGTGGGAACAAACACTGGAACAATTATTATCAGTGGGTCCCACAATTACTTGTCCCGTGTGGGAATCGAACCCACGTTCCCAGACACCGAAGCCAATAGTTTAGCAACTTCGAGTCATCATGTTTCTGTGTGTTTATGAATAACAATATAAGTACAAAATAATAATAATAATCCTTTAATGCCAACACCATAAATAAATATTCTTACAATATAGATGTTTTTTTTACAATATAAATATGTTTTTTCCTTTTACGATGTAAATAATTTAACAAAACTTTATGATATGACTTATTGGGTATCGGCGTGTCTTTGTGACACGAAGGCCTCCTCCATCTCATTCCAATCCACTCTTGATTGAGTTGTTCTATGCCATAGGACCAGCAGTCTTTTTGATATCATCAGACCAGCGTTTTCTTTGTCTTCCTATTTTTCTCTATGTTTGGAATCTATTGGTCCATTCTGTTATATCTTTTATTTCTTTTTAAAAACGGAATATAAGTACATATAAACTAGTATATAATCACACGACCCTAAGTGAGGTACTTCAATGTAGGGAAACTCGCAACACCAAGATATATTTAAGGCGAGTTACTACTACTAAAACCGGGCGAAACTTTTCGCTGATCTTCAATACATTAGTAGTTTGATAAAATCCTGAGGTTTAAGAATATATCTCCACAATCTACTAACCTCACCACATATCTGCTGTGCGATGCAACTCAATCTATAGGAAAACGTTTTGTTTCCCAGACCGGAAATTGCTAGACAAGAATCTGCATAAACCCATATCGATGTTACAAGTGCAAACGAGATGGCGTAAGAAAGTACCAATTTAATGCGAACTCGAACTTAAAATATGTCAAACGTGCATTACTTTTCAGGGAAAATCTATAAAGTTATCTCATCTTTACGCGAGTACTGCACATAGTTTAGTAAAGTTGATTTACGGACTTTATTTTACCCTTAAATTGGCCGCTTTGCAGTCTGAAGTTAACCTTGTCAAGTTTTACGTTGGAAATTAATACAAAAACTAATTGCAAAATATTCCTTAAACTATTTTTATTTAAGAAAATGTATTTATTCTCAAGGAGCAATCCGTCTTACCTTGGTTTTAAATAGGTTTCTTAGTTTTTTATAAAGTTATAAATAAAACGTGCACTTCCTACCGTAAATAGTTGTATAATAGCTACATATAATATATTTTTTATATAAATAATTTACGACACATTTTTACACAACGTTCTCTAGTCCCAAACTAAGCAATGCTTGTACTATAGGTACTAGATAACTGATAAACATTATTAAACATATTTATCTTTTGTAAATAAATACATTTTATAGATATATAAACACCAACATTTAACTGAGTTGGGGTCACGCACCAGCCTCGACTGTTGCACGAAACGATGCCGGAGGTTCAATTTCGGCGAAGTGCAGTTCGCAGAGCACTCTTTTCCTTGGACATTCATAAGTCGAGTGGGCCCGATGGCATCCCACCGATCGTGTTGAAGACATGTGCTCCAGAGTTGGCACCGGTTTTGACGCGTCTTTTCCGGCTCTCCTATACTCTAGGCGTATTCCCGAAATCCTGGAAGGCCGCTTTAGTGCACCCGATCCCTAAGAAAGGCAACAGCTAGGATCCGTCCAACTACAGGCCTATAGCCATCACCTCCTTGTTCTCCAAGATAATGGAGCCCATCATTAACTGCCAGCTCCTGCAGTACCTAGAGGAGCATCAGCTGATTAGCGATCGCCACTACGGCTTTCGTCGTGGTCGCTCAGCCGGTGATCGTCCGGTTTACCTGACACACAGATGGGCAGAAGCAGTTGAGAGCAAGGGGGAGGCGCTTGCAGCCAGTCTGGACATAGCGAAAGCCTTTGATCGGGTGTGGCACAAAGCACTTCTTTCGGGCTGCCTTTTGAGGTAGCTGGAGCCCAAATTTCAATAGGTTGACAACGCCTCTGCAACACTTGGGTGTAGCTAATTTCCATGGGCGGCGGTATTCACTTAGCATTAGGTGAACCGCCTGCTCGCTTGGCAACTTTTCTCATAAAAAAACCCCAGACACTAGAAAAACACTATGTTCATCACACAATATTTTTCCAGGAGTGGGGATCGAACCCACACCCTCTGGCGCAGAAAGCAGGTACACTGCCCACTACGCCATTCGGGTCGTCAAAATATATTCATAGACAAAGTAAATTCAGGCAAAAAAATATTTTTTTCGCTGCTCCCAGAATTCATCTGAGTAACGCTCCTGTTTCCAACGTGGCTTAGCACCCGATATGCTCCGGGCACAAAAATCTCGATACATATGAACTTCTTTTAGATTGCAGTTTAAGCTTTAAGCTCAGCATGCGACACAAATAACATTTTACAATGTATATTTGAAATAAACGTGTTGCCTTTACCTTTGAAATTTAAGATTATTTTTCTTAAAGCTAATTTCCACGTATTTTTAATCATACTTATCATAATAATTTGAGTTTAGTAGATTCTCTTTGTCAGAATTAATATCTTTCTAAAAAAATATCTGAGGATGATTGATGTACTTAAACTGAATAAGTCGGGTCAATAATTGGCATATTTATCCTCTTTCGTTCAATATTTCTATACTTTTTACCATTTCGAGGCTAAGATAAGATATTTCTTTTCGCAGATTAGCAATCGCTAGAGTGCCGGCCTGGCATGAGGCGACCGCAGCAACAAGCTTCGTCCCCGAACCTTCACTGCTCACCTTTTCGTCGATCGATCTTCAAACTACCCAAAACCTGTCTATTCCTATCCGCTGTTGTCCTTTTTCTACCCTTCATCAAAACCCAAATGATTTTAACAAACACAACAGAACACAGTCAAGCGGAAAATATTGCAGTTGAACGCTTGGATTATAGTGCAAATAATTATTCACAGAAATCGAAAAACCGTTCGGAGTTCACGACGAATTTAGGTGCGTTTCGTACTTCGGACCTACCCGAAGCAGAGTACATCTTGCTCCACGATACGAAAACAATAGAAAATGAAACGACATACGAATCGGAATCCATAGAGTCTTCGTCAATAAATAATCAAAAAAGTGGGGGCTATACAACACCACACTCAAGGAATATTTTATTGAAAACTAATAAAGAGTCGGAACTCGTTAACATTACGGCCTTTCAATCCAAGTTAAGGAGTCAGAAATCAAAGGAAAAGCAACATTTTACTGAAAATGAAGCCCTGAGCCTCAACAGCAATAAAACATCAATATATATTCCGATGGAAAGTGATTTTTTCGATACCCAGGAAAATGATTCAAATATTAACGTTCGGGAAGTAAAAGACGAATCAATGGGGAAATTAAAAATAGATGAAGCGACGCGAATAAAGATATTCTACGATTACTTTACGACCGTCAACAAAACAGGTGAAGCGAAATCAGAGCGACCAAAAGAAGATTTTCCAAATGGAAATTATAATGAAACAAAGAATGAAAGTAATTTCAACCGAACAGACTTGGGACGGGTGATCAGTAATACTACTCGAGCATTTGCGAATACCTCATTATCCATTCCCGATGTTACCCCTACTCCCGTTTCAACGATCCCTCGTTTCACAGACGGTGAGTAAATACAGTACAATTTTTTCAAATTATTAAACATGCTAAAATACAAATAATGAAATGAAATTCGTAATTACTTCTTGAAATGGCGATCACTGGCTCTCACCACTCATGACATCATTTAACAATCACCGCTTCTATTAGTCGATGATTATCAAGCATTTAAATCATTTATGGACCAACGGAACTAAAGAACACTTCTAGTTTAAAATCAATGGTCGCACCTGCCCCACAAATCAAGCTAGCTCCAATTAATTGCACCATCGCCTATTTCAAACTGAAGTCTGGTCTTTTCTAAATGTCGGCTGTTACGGAAAATAGTTTAAAGCGGTTTTTAAAATCAATTACTGCAGTCGTCGAGTCGCAATATCCTTCTAGTGTCCGTTCTTCGTTCAATTTATTGGCGACCTAATTTCGCAAGGAAACGAATCAGCGGGTAAAAATAAAATATAAAATTCAGATTTTAACAAAACTACTGAATCTGACACCACGGAATATATTGTTACAGACAACAGCGTAATGAGTACGATGATAATGGCATTTAAGTATATTATTATAGAATATTCCAGATTCAGATCAAAAAGTCAATGACATAGTCTGATTGTATTTACCGCATCCTACTGCCATTTCTCCTGCCAAGTTCCAATTAGTGGAGCTTCGCTTTACAACAATTTGACAACTTTATTAGTTCTACGACAACGCCGGGCTTAGTCATTCTGACTACCAATTATTTCACACTGTTCGAGAAGTTTTCAATCCTTTCCGCAGTTACTCTAATAATATATTTAAGTGTGTAAAAGTTTCTGTGTGTTACCCTCCCTCTTCGGGTCGCCATGACATAAAATTTAGACATAAAAATACCGTTCCATTCCAAAAACAAAACTGTTTAAGTTATATTATACAGATGAAAAAACGTATGTAAATGTTATCTTATTATGATTTATTATTTATTTAATGTGAATGAATACATTAGTCCTTTCATACAAGAGCTGTCGTTTTGATTTAACATTACCGTTTTTAATGTAAACAGCAGACGCTGAAATGTTTACAGTGTAGATTTTTTTAATTCAAAGCCCTTTTAGAAAAAACGCCAAACGAAGGGCGAAGGTATCACCTGTCCCTTGTAATTGGCTGTAAATTGGCTTTCCTCCGTGATGAGACTAACGGGGCGGGCCCAGCTAATTTGTTTCTAAAAACGGTAGATCAGAATCCCATCCTTTGTTCTACAACAATCGTTCTATAAAATTGCTTATTAATTTCATAAAAGTCAGTCAATTTCTTTATCGCCTGTTATAACAATAATTAAAATTGTACTCGAGGTACATATTTCTCAATGAGATTATAAATGTGAGATTATACAGCGTGTCGTTGCAACCGCGACAATAAATGAACACACGTCTAACACGACTTGCCAATAATCATAAAAAATCCATAATTAAAAAAATATTATTTTCAAACATATTAATTAAATAAAAAAGAGACAAAATTTGTAACATCCTGATTCATACATACTTTTCATTCGTTGCTATAACGTCGCATTACAAGTCTCTCCTTCTAACAGAATGTTTTATCTCTTTTAAATTCATTCAACCCATTCATGTACTTTGTGACCTTTGCAAATGAACTTTACGTTACAGTTTTATAAGTAAGGCTGTTCTAAAAATGTTTGTTTTGTAAAATTTATTAACTCGGTAAATATTGATGTTTAAAGAATGTAAATGCTTAATACAATTTTAAAAAGTTATCCTCTATACGTGTGTTCATTTATTGTCGCGGTTTTAACGACACGCTGTATATGGTACCTTTTTAAAAAAACATAAATTTTTTAGGACAAAAGTAAAACTAAATTTACTGTTATAGGGCCACGCAGCAGCTTCATATTATAGTCTGTTATGTTATTCTTATTATTGCACAAATGGGGCATGAAGTGGAATTATATACTTCTGCGTTTCGTTTAGTGAGTGAGGTAACGGAGTGCCCTTTTTAATGGCGTTAATCACTTAACATTATTTATTATTACATATTTGCAAATAAAAAAATATTTTTTCACGCCCTTGTAATAGTTGTGCAACTATTTCATAGTCATAGATAATTATCGGTTCGGCTGTTTAAACAATGGTGAACTTGTTTAAACAGTAACAAGATAGTAACAATTCTAAACCCGCCTGTCATTTTTAATCTGTGAAATAATTCTGAACGATATGAAACAAGCAAAAAGAAATGGCTTTCGTTGAAGAAATATACGTGTAGCTCCGTATCATCAAACAAATTGAATCTCATAACACAAAATTATTTCAAACACGTGCGCTGCGGAAAATCACGGCGAGCATAATTTTAATAAATATTCCTAAGATCCCCTGTTTCTGAACGATACAAGTATACCTTACGTTCACGACATAAGGATATTGTTAGTGTTATAATAAATAATAAATCGACGACACAATTGGCGTTATGAATAATGAATGAACCTGTGTCTTGCGCCAGAGCGGGTGTTGGTTCGATCCCCACTACATAAAAAATATTGTGTGATAAACATTTACACACTATATTTTTTTTTACTTTTTTTTCTATACCAGATCATTGCGTTCTTTATTTTTTATTTCCAAAATACATGATTTACCAAAAAAAAAAACGAGCAAAGCTCGGTCCTCCAGGTACTATTTATTTACTTAATTATAGCAGCCTAAATGATGAAATTAAAGCTCCTACAAAAGGGATCGAAATTAGTCATGAATTGAAGAAGATAAACGGTCAGTGATTTTTTTAACAAAGGGCCAATATTTTGGCACTAACTACAGTGAGTTTAAAATTCCAAAACTTATAGTTAAAAATTTTGCCTACTCAAATTAATTCTAGAGCTTGAACCTTTAATAATGATTTCTCATTTTCATATCATTTGTGCCTGGTGTTTGTTTGCTATATCCCACGTTTTGTGAATTTGAACCTTGTTGAAATGCATATGTCTCCTAATGGGGCTTTATATTCCAAACCAAATAGGTTTCATATCAAAGAAAATCATGTTAGTCATTAACATTTTTTTTTATAAATACATACATATTTTTAGCGCCGATTACAGCTCTACGTTTGCCGTGGATGTAGATTTGACTTTGATGTTTGAAAAATAAAATACATTTCGCGTTAACGAGGGAATGAGCTCATGTACATTACTGTAACTATTGATAAATATTAGTCAGGCTGCATGGGAGAGTTCGAGTTTCATAAATAGAAAAAAATGTGCATATTTTTGTAGCCTTTGAATTAAGAACGCCATTATGAATTCGCAATATGTTCCGTGTTTTTTATAAAGCCGTTACACGTAGCAAACCTTTATGAAAAGTCTTTTTAGTAGTATATGAAACATTTTCTATGTGTTTATTTTACGTTATTAGGGTAATGACCCGAATGGCTTAGTGGGTAGTGTATCTGCCTCCTGCGTCATAGGGTGTCGGTTCGATTCTAACAACTGGAAGTATATTGTGTGATGAAATTTACGTGTTTTTAGTGTAATATGTATTTATTTACAAAATAAAAGGAAATTTATCAGTTATCTAGTAACCATAGTACAAGCGGTGCTTAGTTTAGGACTAGAGTACGATGTGTAAAAATGTGTCCTAAAAGATTTATTATTTATTTGTTATTAAAAAAAATACTTAGATCCTAATATTACGTTTGTAGATTTTGAAATTGTTCATTGCATTCAAAAACACGATATTTATATTGAGCAGATAAACTTGATATTTCCAGACATTGAACTAGTGACACCAAGCCATAGAAATTTAGCTTTAAATGTTTGGTGCCAGGTTCTGCACTTAAGATTAAACTAAACATTTAAATTCTAATTTCGATAGCAAAAGCGAAGTCTCTAGTTTTCAAATATTCATAGTAAAAATGTGACTTGAGAAAGTGTGCTTGCTGTGAAGGAAGCACATTAGACGTTGTCTAAAGCAATGCTAAAATGAAATAAACACAAGACTATACAGCGTGTCGTTACCATCGCGACAATAAATGAACACACATATAGGGGATAACTTTATAAAGTTGTATTAAACATTTAAATTCTTTAAACATCAATATTTACAAAGTTATTAAATTTTCCAAAACAAAGAATTTTAGAACACCCTTACCTATAAAAGCGTTACGTAAAGTTCATTCGTAAAGTTTACAAAGCATATGAATGGGTTGAATGAGTTTAAAAGAGACAAAACATACTGTTAGAAGGAGAGGCTTGTAATACGACGCTGTGACGCGAGTTGTATAGGATGTTACAATTTTTTTTTCTTTTTTACTTAATTAGTTTGTTTGAAAAATACTTTTTTTTAATTATGGATTTTGTTTAACGTTAATATTTTTTATGATTATTGGCAAGTAGCGTTAGACGTGTGTTCATTTATTGTCGCGATGGTAACGACACGCTGTATACTAGAGTAAGTTGACAGGACGTCGAGAATTTTACGCGGTGACGATGTTAACGTAGCCTTAGACGTAGTGGCTAGAGCGTCGGAAAATATAATGAAGGCGCGGGCTGAAAATAGTGGCAACAAAATATTTTGCGATGGTTTTTTCTACACATTCTTAAGGTCCATTGCTTCCGCCACTCGTCACTTCCTTTGTTAATGTAAATAATGAAATTGAAGGCAACATACCCAAGGCGCTGACTGTGACCACCGTGTTGAGCCACAATACATAGGATTGTAATAAAATATATTAATATATTAACCATAAATATAACCATCATTGTACATTTCACCATGATAATGGGTAGCTCTTAGAGATTCTGTTACGTGAAAGGCACCATAGTTTTAAAAATCCTTTGTTGTTGACGTGTACAAGTAAAGTTACAGACTATACAGGGTGCCTTTTCTAAAGGTACCCAAATACACACAGGAGGTTCAGACTCAGTAGTATAATCGTTTATTGGAACAAAAACAAACTTTTTTATTAAAAAATTGCGATTCTATTCCTTAAAATACAGAACTTCTTGACAATGCGGTAGTCATTCA